CCCCAAAACCCCAAAACCCCTAATCGAAACTATAATTTCTTCATTTGTAATTAAGAATTAATTTTAATTAAATAGAGCAATAAATAATATTTCCAAGCATTAGCTCTCAGCATTCATTCGATTACACATCCACTTTTTTCTCATTTCATTTGGTTTCCTTTAATTTGTCATCGTTACCATTGTCATCATCGCTTTCTACCTCGCCCTGTATCTTCATACCTGCTAGTTAATCCTCTAGATTCTTTAGCTCATCAACCTAAATATGTTGATAATCCTCCTCTACACTTTCCCAATCACTTCCTTCTTCTTAGTTCTTTTCCTTCAATGTTGCCTTGATCAAAGCCTTATTTTTCTTCTTTTCTACTTCTGTCAACTCTTGCTTCTTTTTGCCTTCAGCTGTCTTTCTAGCGGCTTTAACTACCTTTCTGTCGTTTTTAGCATCTTTGCCCTTAGGTTTAGCTACTTCTTTTTCCTCTTCTTTGTCAAGATCTAATCCAGCTATTTTACTTTCAAGTTACTTTATGATATCATCGTTTCTGAAGAGGTCAATTTATTGTCTGAGTTCAGGCTCTTCTTCAATATCTTATAAGAACATATCATAATCTTTCTTATTTTTGCCTTGATTTTTCTCCTTCTTGTGGTAATTATTGTCATCTATACCTTCTTTATCTAAATGCTTCAGTTTCCAAATTCTGTGCTTCTATCTCTTTCTAAATCTTGGGAAAGTTTTCTTTACCAACACAACTGGTGGAATAACTTTCGTTAATTCAAGCTCTTCAAGTTCATTCAAGTTAATCATATCTAGATCAAAACCTAGGACAGTGTCATTGTAATTAAGAGTTTCACCTAAGTGAGTGTTTACGATGAATGTTTTATCATTGGTACCGAAATCGTCTTTTCTGGCAATTTCTACCTGCACCATTCTGAATTTTTATTTGGCTGCTGCTCTGCTTACATTGACATCATAATCTGTGTTCTCAATATTTAGTACAATGAATTCAGTCAATCTATCTCTACCGCATAGTGCACCGAAGTTGTATTTCCAGTAAGTTGCTTAATCAATTTCATAAGTTTGCATTGTAAAGACATCTACGATATGAACGAAAGTGGATATTTTATAAACTAAAACTAATGGTCCAATACCACCTAACTATTGAGATAAAGGTTTTGGAAGGATGACTAGGTCATCTCTACATATAGGGGCGATATCAACTGAGAAAGTATACTTGTAACTGTATTCATTGTTTCTAAGATCATGAGAAATCAATTACTTTGCTGTCTTTACCTTAGCTGGTACTTAACCTTAAATAAAGTCAACTAATCTATTAGCATGAGATCTGTTTTTAAATTGGAAGTCAAGTCCATCATGCATCTCTTTAATACCTAGACACTTATCAGAAGCGTTATGCTTGATAATTAACTACTCTAAAAAGAGGAAGGTTCTCTTATGATCAACTCTTTGTCTAATCTAAGCTTGAGCGACCCAGGTATGTGGGGTGTAAGTTTTCTTACAGTCATCACATTAGAGATTATTTACAATGAACTCAACAATGAAGCTTTACTGAAGTAGCGTACCGTTTAAAACTTCTTTCTAAACTGTAAGCTTAACTTTCAGTCTTCTTGAATGTGGCTCAGTATACAAAAATCCTGCATCAATCAATTTAACTCTCTTCAAACCCTTTATATTCTTCAAGCAAAGTGATAATAGCTCAGGAGACTCTAGTTCACAGTTCTACCAGGGAGGTCTCAAGTACCTATTACATTCTCTGCAATGACTAAGATTGACTGATTTGGTTATACCCTCAGTTACATCTATTGAAGATTTCAAGCAGTTAATGCAAGTGTTTGACTCGTTTGGTATCATCATAATACCACACATACAGCATCGACTATTTTGCATTAATTCTAAATTAATTTGATTACATTTTGTGAATAGCGAATAATGATGGGTCTACACTCTATGTGGTAGCACTAGTCGACTGATTCAAGGAAGTATCAGTTTTCCCATCATCCATTTTGTCATTTTCTTCATATTGATATATAGCAGGCTCAAATAAAACGTGATTTTGCTATTACTCTACAATCATTCCTTCACTTTCCATTGTATTAAGTATTAAATACTATTTATTTAGCAATCATATATATGTTTATTTCAGCCTCTTGGGGTTTTGGGGTTTTGGGGTTTTGGGGTTTTGGGG